CGATTCGGCCGTCAAAAAATTTTCAGATGTCCCAAAAATAATGAAGCCAGCTGTAAATAAAAAAAAAATCTTCCACATGTGCATCTTGCGCATATTGACTTTCGGTCCTCATGATCTTTTTAAGAAATTTTTAATCTTTTAAATTATTTTTTCTATCAACGTGAGGTGTTTTTACATTTAAATTATATCGCAGAAATACTTAGGAATCTTTAGCAACTAAATTTCCATTATTGTATAACTTATGTTAATTTTTAACGAATAAAATAATTGCAATAATTTCTAACTGTTTTCTAATTTCTTTTGAAGCAACGTCTTAAACATAAAATTTTTTTTGCAGATTCATATATCTAATATATTCTTTTGATTAAAATGTATGTTGACTATTGATAATGATTGTTATCCGAGCTTACTATGATCGTGCGACCAGAATAATTCGAGTTCTTTTGGTGATAAAATAACTTCGTTATTTGATAATGACGCAATTATCACCGAATTATTCTGTTGGTTCGGTCGTCGTAAGCCACCCGATAAAACCATTATTGGCTGCTTCGCATCCAATAACTATATTTTATATGAGTTTACTATTAGAATTGGAATTTTAGACACTTATTTAATTATGGATTAAAACTCATTAATTAAAGAACTACTTATCGTTATACTGGCATTGCCGTTTGATTCGATATTTCATTATCAGAAAAAATACAAAATTTCATTGATTTTTATTTTCATCTGTTTATTATCGTTATTTGAATTAGGTCGGACTATAATACACCGAATACCAAAAAATCATTTGGTCTTTGAAGACTATATATATATATATATTTTAATAGCAATTTTCATAATCGTTCTAATTCCATGACTTAATGTGATGTCGAAAACAGCAATAACCTAGCTATCTTATTGAGCTTGTCTTTAAAAGCAGTATTTCATGTTAGTCTTTTCGAATTGATGTATAAAATCTGGTCGATTTGAAACACAGCCCAGCTAGTAGTTTTGATTTCACTTTCCCACTGATTTATTTTGTGCTAGTGAAGTATCTTCACATAGCAACAAAATCTGTTGTTCTTTATCACGACTGTTAAACTAATTAAGTTATAAACTGGTTAGTTATTTATAAAAAAAATGGTTTAGATAATTTGTAGAATTTTGAGTACGTACTTCGTTAAAATATTACTGCAACAAAAAAAATCTTTAAAAGATTTTAAGATTATTATCTCATAATTATAGGTTCTTATATTGTTTTCTTTAGGACCTGGGATCGCTATCGGTTAAACAACATGGTGAGTATATAAATTTGTGCAATGTACAAAGATTAAACATCAAACTTACATCTGATTGAGACCAGTGATCTCGATCTCATATTGTAGAATCACATCTTCGGTGCTCCCTTTTTTATTTTCTAAATTAGCTTTTTAGAGTTGGAGTTATTTTGCAGTTTTTGATATTCTGGTCCCTATTAAAGAAATATTGTATAACTCTGCGTACAAAAAACTAAACAAATTTTTACCAGTTCGGTTTTAAGGGTTTTAAGGATTTATAAATAAACTTTTACTAGTTCGGTTTTAAAGATTTATGATCTATTTCTTTAGCAAGTGATTATAACCTTATGAAATGGAATCAATCAATTGTTGACAGTGTAAATTGTAAAAGTAATTTGAAAATGATGAGATAAAAATTCCTCTTAAACTTATTAGTTCGTGTCACAAATGCATGATTTACAAATCTCAGAATAATAATAAACCAATTAGACAAACCCAGATTGGAAGCAAAACAACACGTTAATTTGATATTCCATTTCGTTATCAATATATCAATATTTAGCGATAGATCTTGATAATTGACTCACATTAAATGTTTATTATAAATTTAGATTAGTATTAAAAAAAAAAATTTTTATTGACGTGTTAAAAAAAAAATAGAGATGGAACAAATTTTCATTTTAGGGCGTTCTCAAGTATCTGCAATTTTATAATGATCGAAGTAATGCACAAGTACTATAACATAGTTTTAACTATATTCAATATTTTAGTTAATACAGTAGTAAGAATGGTGATTTGCTAGTAGTTAAAATTGCTATGATAGATCAAAATAAAGGCCTTAATAAGTGTACTTGAGTAGCTTTATCGATTCTATATGGTTTATTAAATGGTATCGAAAAATTTCGTGAATTGATAACGGAGATCTATACTAAAAGAACATCAAAATTCTTGAGCATTAACTCTATTTTAATCTTTTAGAAATCCAAATGCATTCTCGATACTTTGAGAATGCCTTAATCTGATCTTATCCCTTACACCGTCTAGCAATTGCAGGCAAATTTGCAGGAACGCAGTTACCCAATCATCTTAGTCAAATATCACGGGGTTGACCTCAATTTACTAAAAGTCCGATGCGAATTAAGTTCTGACGATTATCCAATATTTAAACTTTATCCGGCAAACTCATATGATCATGAAAAAATTTCTTCTTGTTATTTTTTTCATGTGTTACGATATAATTATG